CTTCCCACCCTAATCTTACCCACATTATGGAAGCTCCCCTTCTGCTTTCTCAGTGACTGCAGCTGTGGGAGTCAGGGAAGGGCATCATGGCTGGCAGGTCAATCTGCATCTCATATCAGAGCAACCTAGATAGCAGCCATGAATCAGCCACTGGTGATGGTGGTGGAAAGACCCTGAGGTATGAGTTGAATTGTCCCAGTTCATTCCGAGTAGTGGGGCATGAGAGGGAGCAAAGGGAAGTAAAGGGAAGAGGCATAGCAACCACTGGAAAAATCACATTCCCCTTTGGTTTGCACAGCAAAAAGGAGAGAGTCAAACCTTTGCGTGTCTCAGCTTGGGTTCTGCTGCTTTCTTTTAGCCAGGTGTAAAGTGAAAAATTGAGCAAAAAGCAGATGTGCAAAGCCTGCAATTTCATCAGGACAAAAAGAATCTACAAAGTTGGAGCTCTGGAGTGGATGTTTGCTGAAAAGATTAACATTCAAAAGAAGCCATCCATTTGCACCTGGACAATAGAAAACATGGCTTGAAGGCATCTCAGGAATCAGCAAGACATAACCCTTCACAGACTCAAGGCTGTAAAACTGAAGCTTGCCTTTGAGAAGAACCCCACCCCAGCCCCTGCAACAGAAGAGCTGCATAAAGAATACATTTCCCAGGACAATTTTCACCATGATATTCTTACCCAAGCACTCAGTGGACTCTGCAGCCATAACCCAAGGGGACCCAGCTCCTGATCAAGCTGGCATCAAACCTTTGTATCATCTTTATAGTGCTGCTTCTATGGGTATGCAGAATGCAAGAGTTGTGGGATCATGAAGGCTTCCACCCAGATTTCCAAAAAGACCTCCAAAGTCAGGTAATGTGCTCCTGGAAGGGAAATTCGTGAAGCTGTGAGAGCAAGCCAAAAGCACCGTGGTGAAACCAGAAAGTTACAAACATAGAGTAACCACTAAAGAAAGCCACAGGCAGTGAGAGAAGCCACCCCTAATATAGGTCATGAGTGCTGCAAAGAACAATGCCATAGAAACAGGGACTCTGGGCCCTTGGAATTCACAATTGATCATGACCTGCTTTGAATGCCGGATGTGAAGCTACAGGATGTAATGTTTGCCCTAGTAGATTTTAGTAGATTTTCTCCACCTGTTTCTCCTTTCTGAACTAAAATATTTGCTCTATGCTATTGTATGTTGGAAATATTTAACTTTCTTATAATTTTATAGGGGTGCAAACCTGAGTTTGCTTACTCAAAAATTTTGAATTTAAAGCAGTTGCAAAGATAATAGCCAACGTGAAAACAAATAAATATCTTCTCCTTTATAAATAAAACAGTACAATAGAACATAACTGACCAATTTTTCATTTATTACTTTTATTGGTACATTTTAGGTATACAATATGCTGACATTCATTATTGGGAATTTGTATCTTTACATAATATATCTTGGCTTTTTTATACATTACTGTTATTGGTATATTTTAGGTTGAACAATTTTTTAATGAACAAAACTTGTTACACATTTAAAAAACTGGAGAGAGCTTGAGGACATCAGAATATGTTAAAAGAAACCAAAAATATTAAATTTTGTAATATTCTCCATATGTAGCAAACTTAAAATGATAAAATTATAGATATGAAGACTAAATATGTGGTTGTTGGAGGTGTGGGAAGTGTATTGAGGATGAGTGTGTTTATGTAAAAGTAGACCAAACAAGTCAGAAAAACTTGCAGCGCTCTTGTGACTAAAATTGGTCAGTCCAAGGAGGATAGAGTAGACTATATTTATGGACAGGAGGGAAATGTGACCTCTTACCAGGGCCATGGTCATTGTAGTTAGGGCTTAGGGCTACAAATAGATCAATGTGTCAGACTGAAGGCAGAAGCACTTTTCATACCTTCAGATTTCCACCTATGCTGAAAAGCTGTGAAGTTTTAAACAATGGCATCACGGTACTGGAGGAAAAATAGAAATGTGGAAAAACAGAATAGAATGGAAAACACATGCACCACTGATGCACACACAGCCATTTGATTTTTCTCTCAAGCTTGGTGTAACATCATATTAGTTTGTTCATCAGGACCCTAAGAATGAAGGCTAATCCAAGGTATGATAGATAATATACAGACTGAAGACAATAGGTGATAGGTGATATATAGATAGAACACATAGCTTTGATGTGTAGTAGGCTATACTATCTAGGCTCAAGGAAGGAAACTATATGGTATTCCTACAACAAAATTTCCTAAGGACACTGTATCAGTCTCCATTTACAAGAGAAACAGACATAACACAAAAACACAAATAGAGAAGAATTTACAAGATTGGCTTATAATGGCCACCCACAGAGTCAGATGATGGAGACCGAAGGATTTAAAATTCTGGAGCTCATTGCAGTGTCCATTCTAGTCAGTACCAGGAGGACAATCAGTCCATGATGGAGGCTGAAGAGTCTAAGCTGGGAGCCAGAAGATGATGCCCAAGGTGAAGGTGAAGACTGGAGCTCCCCCAAAAAACAGGAGGAGCAGCATCCTTCCTCGTTTCCCCTTTGTAATATCCAAGTGAGGAGCTGCCCTGGGGCCTGGAATTGCTGAGCCAATTTAGCCAAGCTTCTCTTCACTGACTTCTCCAGCTGACAGGATCACTCAACCATCACAAACACTTGTCAGGACGCATTCCAAAGTTAAGAATTGCTTTACTGTATAAGCACTCTCAAACGTAGAGATAAAATGAAGCATGTATTGAAATTCTTACTATGTGCATTTATTTAAATAAGTAAATAGAATTTATCAGATATAACTACAGTCTCAGTCCTGCATCACTTTCTCTTTCATTACTCTGTCATACGTGTAACAGCATATTACAACGCTTCACCCTAAATACCAAGATGTTCTGTGGTATGTTTCAAAAGTGGTGTAAGGTGATGTTCAGTCTTTGAATATGTTACCAGTGGACGACTGCTTACCAACTCTTAAGCTGTCATCCACAACAAGGCTACAAAACTTGCTTAGCTGATTGTTATGTGAGGAGTAAAATGCTGAATTTGAAGATGAACTATGTCCCCTGTTCCCAGTTTTGGGGTCTATTGCAAGCTGAGAAACTGCAGCAAAGAAGTCAGTGTGCTCCAATTTTTCTCTCTTCTCCTGTCAACCATATACTTCTCTCAGATACATGATGTTTGTGTTGCTTGCTTTTGACTTCGTATATTTGGACACATAGCTTGGAAGAGACTTCAGAAAACAGGACTCTGATTTTTCTTGTCCTCCTGCATTGATCTGACTGACCCTTTTGTACTTCCCAATATTGTAGACTTGACTCCAACTAATTTAATACAAAGCTTTCCTTATAGTCACATAGCCATCAAAGATACTGCTCAATGCTGATAGTAATCCAAACTTAGGGACTTTTTAAAAGTAATCTTGCAACCACAATTAAGTTCTTGTCATAATAAATAAATGAAAATCATTTCTTTAATTATCACTGTACCCTGAATTACTTTTATGATTTTGTCTGCAATAGTACTATAAATTGCTGCTTCTCCCATTTCTATCTATCCAGGTTTCACACATCTTTCCTTGCTAATTCCAAAGCCTCATGGGGCAGGAATAAAGGAGGAGAGGGCACATGCTTGGTAAATTATACAAGCATAACTTCAAATTCTATGTATTTCAGAGATGACTTGCTCTCTACTGGCCAACACACGCGAACATGCACACCCACCCACCCACAAACCACACAGACACACAGATATCTTCTCGCAATCTGTTCCCTTTGTGTTTACAACCTGGAAATACCCCAGATGTACAAGTTTAGAAATATGTGTGTGTGAAGTGATCTCTTCTTCCAAACTCTATGATAATTGACAACAGCAACCAAATCATACCTATTTTTACAGCCATTGTTGGTGTACTGGCAATACTGGTGCCCAACACATTCCACCACATCATATGGAAAGTGTACCACAGCCAATTTTCTTGTCTTCAGATAACTCCTGAGAGTAGTCACGGTACACAACCATGAACTTCTGAGGCTCTAGCCTTCTGATAGCAGCCCATATCTTCTAGATATTGCCTTCAGTCCATATCGGTATAAAGTCAAATTACACTGTCTTATTCTAAAAACATCCAGACACCAATAACAAGATTTAGTTTTGGCAATTCAATAATGCAACATCTGCTTGGGTTGCTTGGGGTGGGCATGTGGCTCACCTTACTCATGGGGAAAGCTTGGGAATCCAGGTACACTGACCTCACATCCAGTTGTCTCTCAAACCTAGCACTCCCATATTTTGCATCCCTACATATCCCAGAATTTCAGTAAGTGAGACATCATTTCACACTTACACTGATCAGGAAAATAACTAAATAACTCCATACCAGATCTCATGGTTTAAATTCATGGTGTTAATTGCTGGAATCCAAAGTCAACTTCTCACCATACAACACATAAGTGCCACCAGAAGAATTTCAATAAATCTAATTTCCTACACTAATGTGGCAAGAGAGAGAGAATCTGTCTCTAAAGAAATTATTCCCCTGAGCTCAGAGACTGAGTGATGAACAGTTGCAGCACAGTTCAGTCATTCAGAACCTAGTTTTTTACCTGCAATATGCCCCAATTGCATAAAATCATCATTCTCTTTCCAAAGCATTCTGAGAGATATAAGATATCTTCTTTTCTGACAGCTTCATGTAGGAAACCCTTATCAATTTCAAGATCAGTTTTGAATAGAAATTTTTTCCATTATAATGAAAATTTCCAAGAAATCCATTCAATAAGAAATATTCAGAGGAAATTTGAAAAAGTAATAATGTTAAAAGGGTTGGGAATATTAGTATTTGCAATTTCTCTAAGAAAACAAGAAAAGCCAACTAAAATAATCTATTTGAAGGCAACACAAAATCACCAAAACATTTCCAAGGCATGACACCAAGAGAACAGTCAATACTGTGGCCTTGACTCTCAAAACCATGTATGTCTGATAAAAATGGAGGATCTTCAGCCCTAAGCCACTCCACTCCCTGACATTTCTAGGGTCTCCTGAATATGTCTGTCTCCACCTTCACTCTCATGATGGGAATCCTCCAGAGCCCTCTGAAGGACCTGCTTGAGGGTCTGATGCTGCTGCCTGAAGGAGCCAGTGAAGAAGTAAATGATGGGGTTGGCACAGCTATTAACACAGCACAGGATGACTGAAGCTATGGAAAAATAACAAAAGAAGTTAGGAAGAGTGATCGTAAGCCAGAGTAACAGGAACCAGTAAATCCCAAAGGGCAGGGCACAGATGAGGAAGACCAGGACTGTGAAGAGGATGGTCACATAGAGCCTGGGCACCAGCATCCGTCGGGAGCCACAGAGGATTCTGACTACCAGGGTTAGGTTGGAACCAAATAGAGTTAGAAATAAAAAAATCAGCCATGCAGTTATGATGAAATCAAACTTTTGCCACCAAATACTACTAAAGAACATATACAAGAAGCCAGAGAAGTACCATTCCAGGATGCTAAGCAGCAGGGACAGGGCCCACAGCAGGGTACACACAATAGCTGACATATGTCTGGGACGGTGGCAGCGGTACCAGATGGGCCACAGGACAGAGAGGCAGCGCTCTGTGCTAATGGCACTGAGTATACTCAGGCCTGTGATGTATGGAATAATAGCTATATTGATTAGGATGAAACGAATACCCATGTAGAAGTGAGAGAAGGCCATGATAACAGTAAACAGGGAAGCAAAAATGTAGCAGCAGAGGACGAGGAAGTCGGATGCAGCCAAGTTGAGGATGTAGACTGAGATGGCATTCCTTTGCATGCGACATCCCAGGAGATAGATGACAACTGCATTTCCTGCCAGCCCTACCAGGCCGATGATGATGACCAGGAAGTCCGGGATCGAAGTATTATAACACGGCAATTGCAAGTCTTCTTCACTTCCATTCACTGTTGTGTGTTCCATCGCCTGGGATGTCAAGGTTGGTTCCACGCTCATAAACCCTTCACTGGTGTACCTGAGAATACAAACAACTTTGAGAACATGCTGTACAACCACTTATTCTCAGGACCACCCTGTTATATGGGAAATATTGTTCCTATTACAAAAGGGAGGGTTCCAATGATTAAGTAGTCTATCCACAGCTTGGTAGTCTTGGGCTATAGATATAACCCTAGTACTTGTTGACTCCACAGAGCTTTCTCTTCCAAACATGAGAATAAAGATCATGGAGCACATTTTATATCTCCAGAGCACAACACTATGGCATATTTTGTACTAAATACTTCTTTAGTAAATAAAGGGAAGAATGAGAATACTTACAATAAAGGATGATTTAGGTTAAACGGGAAAAAAGGAAAACAAAGGAACTATAAAACACATACATCACATTAAGAAGATTTCATTCATCATAATTATTCTTCTGGACACTTCTGTGTTTACAAGAATTCTGTATGCATGAATACCTAAAGCTGTCCACTAAAGTACTTTTGAAGTGCATTTTTCTCAGGACTCAGAGCACCTTGTTTCGCAGAGTAGGAGTTAGATTTATGTTACAGCTGAATTGTTCAATAGCTTAGAAGAGAAGGCAGTGAGTTAGAGCACTGACTGAGAGTCAAGCAAAAGAGGTATGTGAAATGTGGCAATGTCCATGGAGAAGTAGGACACGGTGCTCTGGATTGTACAACATAATCTTACTCCATTAAGTACCATATATGTTCTCTCAAAGGATGGCCTTGGCACAGTCCATTTGCTGATGGAAGTTTTAATGGAAAAGGATTCTAAGACAAAGCAGAAACATGCAGGGTTTGTAATACAAAGACAGATGTTTATGAACATATCAACTGAAGAAAGAGGACCAGCTCACAACTGCATGAGTAATAGTGGCTGAGAGCTCATTAGGCATTATTTTGTAATCATCGAGAGCATAAAAGGTAACAATTTTGCAGAGAATGGAATTAGAGACAAAAAGTAAAAGAGATGATTAATTTGTTCTTGGTCTCACAGTGTAGATTTGACTTACATCTGGCTTAAGGTTAACTCTTTGATTGGCCCTTTGAACCAACCACTGCTGTATGTCAGTTTTAGACAGGTGAATCAGAAGTAGGGAAGTAATCCCAAGGTAAATCAAAGATAACGACAATTGTGGATGAAAATTAAATGCAACAACAGTAAATTATATAAACAAAGAGAAGGAGAAGCTGAACAAAGAGAGTATAAGAAACAAGAGGGTAGGGTTTAATTATTAACTGATAGTAGAATTCCGGACCTTCACTTGCCTCAAAATATAGTCATGGCTTTAGAGTCCTGAACAGACAGATGAACTGGACATACAGCATGCAAAGAGAAAGCTTCCTCTTCTAGGCCTGAAGAGAGGCTTCCAGAAGTGAATGCATCCATCAAGAGCTCCCTTAGGAAGACCACTCCCACAGGAATGGCATAACATAGAGGTTCTATCCTCATCAAGATGTCTATTAATCTGTACACGTTTCGAGGGTGTGATATCTACCTCATCAAACTTGAAGAGGTAGATTATTCGGGAAGAGTAGATTATTTTTGTTTTCTTCATTTTGCATTACACATTATTTGCATGTGCTCCTTAAAGATCAGCCAACATAGTATATTCACTTACCATTATAAGAAACTGAGGTCTCAATAGATAAATTCATTTTCCTGAGATCACAGCATCAAGAGCACGCACAATGCCCGCCCTTGGAGCCCTGTTTGAGACTGTCAACTATCCTCTGTAGTGCCATTTTTTATTTATGAGGATCTTCCAAAACACTTCATCTGAACCAGAATCTGAGAGGAAATCAGAGCCTAGAGAGATTTTTAGTATCCTCCCATTATCTGTTGTCCTCTTGTGTCATATAGTTGTTCTCTGAATTTTAAATCAGAAAAAAAAGGTGATACTTCTCAGTCTCCCTGGACTCTGGATCGCACCAAGTTGGAAGAGGAGAAGAGCGATGTAACTAACTCCTGAGTCACGGCATTAATAGACGGGGATCAATCTCTCCTTTTCCTCCTCTTTTTCAAGGCTGAAAAGTTGATTGCCTGGGAGTATGTGGGACATAAGGATGGTGGTGCCCCTCTAGGGCTTGGGGAGCAACAATTTGAGGAGTCTGAGAATGAGGTCTTGGAGCCTCCAGCAGAGTTCTGAAATACTCCTGATTACATCATTACTCTACCCTAACAGCCAAATGTATGCTGTGTCCAATAAAGAATGTTTCTCCTTTTCAAATTACATTCATTCTCAGGGCATTTGTGATCATTGAGGTGAATGCTCCACAAAAGTGACAGTAAAGGAAGAAGCCAGAAACAGTGGAAAAATAACTCCAATAGAGATGCAATGAACAGTGATGCACTGATATTTACATAGAAAAAAAAACCTCCAAGTTGAAAAATATAAGAGATATAAGAAAAGTGTCCCTTTGCCTTGAGGATTCTCATTCTGCCCTTCTCTACCCAGTTTTACCACCCCAAGGGTGTGCCTTCCATGACCTTCCTCGTGAGACCTTTTTCTCCTTGTTTCGGGTTGACTCCAGCCACTGGGAGACACCATCAGAAGACTGATGGGCAAGAGGAGGGGAATTTGGATATTTTCATCTCGTTGTTCTTTACATGGCACTCATGTTGACACTGGTAGTGCCTCTCCCAGATTAGTCATTCTCTCCTGCTGCTACAACTTCATGTCTGACTGCACTCTCTCTCTGGAGAATGACTTTTCTATTATGCTTTTAAATTTAAAGCTGGAAATAGTGTGTCACTGTTCTTTCTTAAGGGTGCACAGCCAGTCATTGTTGCTTTCTCTTAACTTTTCTCATCTTTTTAAGCAGCCACTAGAGCAATACTCCTCCATTATTCTTGTTTGGAACAAACATTTCCTTCCTAGGACCTTCTGAAAATGCAAAGGAGAATAACTTTGATAAGGTAGTAAAACAATATGAATTGGGTATGTAACAGCATGGTTTTGGGCAACAATGCTGTTGTGTTACTTTACATCTCACATAACCATAAGAGGTAGCATTGTCCCATGATGAAGATTCAAATAGTTAGGATAAAGGGAAGAATATGGCAAGATTGTCAAAACAAGAAAAAAGTGGGTCTGTTTGACCCCATATCAAACTCTCACGGTCGGGTCTGCCTGCACTCAGTTTGCAGAAAGGAGCTTCTGTCAGCTGCCTTTTACTGAAGGAAGCATCATGTCCCCCTGCATGTACCACCACAAGGAGAAAACACCAGGGTGTGGACTCAGAATAAATACTAAAGCTGGAACTCTAACAGTCTTGTATATGGCTTACCTTTCAGATATTCTGACCAGTGTTGGAGAGGGGACCATTCTTAAGGAGAAGAGCCTTTCGCAGATGGATGGCAGCAGAATGCAAGTCCTTGCTCTCAATCAGGATACAATTTCAGGAGCTGGAGTAAACACTGGAGAACAAGGAATATATATCAACGTTCTGGACAAACTCTGTGACTTCCTGCATAGGGATTGGGAATAAATCAGACACTAGAGCAATCTGAGACAAGGCCCTTCACCTGGGTGTCTCTGGGCATCTCCTTTATTGTCACTTGCCTACCAACCTCTGCCTTTCTATCGTGTCCACTGCTAAGTAATCACTGTGCTGTCCATTAGTTACCAACTGAAAGCCTAGGTAGTGCTGTCCAGCAAAATGTAAGCCTGCTCAGTGAGCATATAATAAAAAATCTCATGGAGCATTCAAGACTCATCATGGCTTGACTCTCTCTTGTATTTTGGATATTTTCTTCATCATAGTAGTAAGACAATCATGTGCAGGCTTTCATTTCAAATGACAAATAAATGTATGAAACTCATTTCCATGAATCCCATTACCCAGCGGCCACTGCTTGCTACCTGTAACATTTTTGCTTGTCCTATTCCTATTATTACTGAATTATAAATTTATATTTCAAGCTTTAATTTATCAGTATGAACCAGTGTATCTATTCACCTCTATCTTAGTTGTCTTTCTCTCATTGCTAAGGCAAGTTACACGTGACATTCAAAGTTAAAGGAGGAAAGGTTTATTTGGCTTACCATTCTTAGAGGTTTAAGTCTATAATCTGCTGGCTCCCAGACAGGGTGGAAGAGAGGCAACAGTTCATGGTGGCAGTAGACAGCAAATGTGACATGAGAACTTAACATCTTTCTACTTCTTTTATTTCATTCAGACTCATTCACACCTAGTGAATTCATACCTAGCCCCACCATGAGTCAACCACACCCTCCAGATTCATCCACCTCTGAAAAGGAAGAGGCTTTAGGGAGACATCTAGACACAAGCCATAACATTCTGACCCTGATCCCCACCAAAGACTTTTCCATATCCCTTTGTGCAAAAAAGCATTTAGTCCATAACCAAGTCTTGCCAAAGTCCTAACAGTTTCAGCCTTGCTGAAAAGTACAAGTCCAGAGTCTTTTAAAGCAAGCTTAGCTGCATGCTCCTGTACAAATGAAAGAAAGTTAAACACTTCCAACGTTCAATCGCATAAGATAGACATTTCCATTCCAAAAGTTACAAACAGGGGGATACAAAGGAATGGGACCAAAGCAAGTCCAAAATCTACCAGGGCAAACGTTAAATCCCATAGTTACACTTCCAGCACCCCCACCAATCTGTGGCAAGCTGTAAATTCCAAAGGTGGCTCTGCCCCTAGGCACTGCAGATGGTTGTGGCTCCCAAGGCTTCTCTTTGGGCTGGTTCTTCTCCCTCCTTCTAGTTTTCCTCAGATGATCTACATCCTGGCTTCTCCAAACTTCTGGGGTCTCCACTGCACTTACAGCTTCACACTCACAGCTTCACACACTGCCCTCTCAGGGGTGCACTGCCTGGCCCTCCACGTCTGAAATTTGGGGGAAGCCTTCCTGACCCCACAACTCTTCCATTCTGCATGCGCCTAAAACCAGTGCCACGTGGATGATTCCAAGGTCGGCTGCCAACAGGAGCAGTAGCCAGGCTTCCTTCTTTCTTGGCTGTAGTGGCTGAGTGCCTGGATCACTGAGAATTCTGAACTCAATCCTGGGGAACAAATTCTTTAGGCCGCCATCAGTCTGGAACTCAGTGCTCTGGGGAATTCTTCTTAAAGCAAAAGTCTCTCATTTTGCAATTTTGAGGCTGTCCTGCTGGTTACTATGATGATATCTTTTCCATTCTCTTGTTCCATCTCAGCAGTCAAGATCTCCTCTGCTCTACCTTTGCAGCCCCCAGCTTTAGTGGAGCTTCCTTTCTGGCCTAAGTCACAATGTTTTAATCATTCTGCTGGGCTCTTTGCTCTTGATTCTCAACATAAATGTGGCTAAAAGCCCCAAGAGTAGTCATTCCACCGCTTCAACATTAGACTGTCTTGAAATTTCTCCCACAAGATTAGTTTGCAGCCCTTAATTTCAGTCTCAGGCAAAATCTCTAGATACAAGCAAGATACAGGCCAGGTTTCTCCCAAGCCATAACATGCATTGCCTGGAGTCCAGCAGCCAGTGCAGTCCTGCTTTCTAGTAGGAACTTCCTGAGTCTTGTCTTTACTGCCTTTCTGGTCTTCTGAGTTCTGATCAGAACTTCCCACACAGAACAGCCTGAGGTGTTCTAGCTCTTACTCTTCATCCAGCATCTCCGCACCTTTCTTAATTTTCCCTCTTTCCACAAGCCAGTTCCAAAGGCACCTGAGCCACATGCCCAGGTAATATCACATTCTCAGTACCAAATTCTATTTTAGATACTTTCTTCTCATTGTTGAGATAAAGTATCTGACACTCAACCATAAAGCAGGAAAGATTTTTTTTTGTTTTGCAATTCATGGAGGTTTCTGTGCATGACAGATTGGCGCCAAAGCAGAGTGGCAGAGGGACAGTAGTTCATGTGGCAGGAGGCACCAAATGCAACAAGAAAACATAACAGTGTCTTTGTGCCTGCCATTTTTATCTTATTTAGACTTAGGGCAGGTAGGACTCATGCCCTTAATCCCAGGGCCCTAAGGCCTAGCCCTCCCATAGGTCAATCACACACTATAGATTTATCCACCTCGGAGAAAGCAGAAGTCTTGGGGGGGGGCATCTAAACACAAGCTGTAAGAACATTGTTATAAAATATGAAGCTTTCAGCACCCATAACATTTCCTTTGTTTTCTGCCATCCACTTCATGAAATTTGCTATTTATTTGATTTAGCTGAGATATTCAAAAGTAACAGTAGCTGGGATCTCTTATAACTACCCCTTTTGTACCTTGTGCTATAGTAATATTTGGCTATTTGTTTTGTTTTTTTATTTTAACAGGACAGGGCCTTCACACTGAACTACATCCCTTGCTCTTGCCCCCCCCTTTTTTTTAATGCAAGACAGCACCTCACTAACTTTCCCAGACATCTTTCAAACTTCTAATCCTCCTTCCTCTGGCTCCCAGAGTACTGGGATTACTGGGATGGGCCACCACAACCCGCTATTGTTCTTAAAGTAATTGGAATTAAAACCTAGTCAGAATAGAACTTAGGGGTAGAATGTTATGGGACTTTTTTACCATTTGATTTTTCCTCACCCTCATATGACTGATGGCTTTGTCCCCAAGGTGACCCTACCAGAAAGTTCTGTGGAAACTTTCAGTGGGGGGACCTTGGAGGTACCCTTATGTGATGGGAGGTGATTCCAGTATTTCACTGCAGAGTGACATGAAGGAAGAACACCTCCTAATTCTTCTCAAACATTTCTAATCCTGCTAGGGAGAAAAGACTTCCAAATTCATTCTCTGAGATCAGCATTGTCTATATACAAAAGAATAAAACAAAGAAAACTGTAGATCCTTATCTTTGACCCAAATAAGTCAAAAAATCCCCAGCAAAATACTAGCAAGGTGAATCAAATAGCACATCAAAAAGGTCACCCATCATACCCAAGAAGCATTTATCCCAGGAATACATACGTTCAACATTTGCAAATCAGTAAATGTAATTTGTACATCACATCACCAGAAAAAAAGGTAAAATACTGACATTGCCTCAAAAGATGGGGAAGAGGCATCTGGCATGGCCACACTTCCAAAATTGTTATACAGGTTTAATGCAATCCCAGTCAAAATTCCAGCAGCAGATCTCACAGCATTAGAGAAAACAATCCTAAAATTCATTTGGAACCTGAAGAAACCTAGAATAGCAAAGGCAATTTCTGGCAACAAAGACAAGGAAGGGAGAATCACAATCCCTGACTTGAAATTATACTACTAAGCTACTGTGATAAAAACAGCAAGGTACTGGGGTAATAAACAGACCCAAGTATCCATGGAGCAGATTATAAGATGCAGAAACATCTCCAGACATACACGGTCACATCATCTTTGACAAAGGAGCCAAACACCATCATTGGAAGAAAGCCACTTTAAAAAATTGTGCTGGAAAAACTGGTTTTCAATTTGCTGAAGACTAAAACTAGACCTATATCTTTCCCTATAAACTAAATTAAAATTGAAATTGATCAAAACTCTAAATATTAAAACAGATACGCTAAATCTACTGCAAGATAGATTAGGTAGAACACTTGAAGACACTGGCCTGGGCAAAGACTTTATGAACAGAACTCTAATTGCACAGGAACTATCACAAAGAATCAACAACTGCAATCTCATTAAAAAGCTTTTGCACAGCAAGAAAAACCACCAACAGAGTGAAGAGGCAAACCACAGTGTTAGAAAAAATGTTACCAGCTGTTCCTCAGACAAAGGACTACTATCTAGAATATATAAAGAACTCAAAAACATCAGACCTGTCAAATCTAAAGACCCAATCCTAAAATGAGCATCTGAAATGAGTAGTGAACTTCTTAGATGAAGAGGTAGAAACAGCAAATAAATATGTGAAAACAAGTTCAGCATCACTGATCATTTGAGGATTGCAAACTAAAACAAAGATGAGATTCCATCTCACTCCAGAAAGAATGGTTGCTATCAAGAAATCAACCAATAACAAATACTGACAGGGCTGTGAAGAAAAGGGAACCTTTCCCCATGGTTGGTGGGAGTGTGGGTTGGAGCAACCACTGTGGAAATCAGTGTGGAGATTCCTCAAAAAACTAGCACCATTCAACACAGGAGAGAGTAAATCAAAGAGAGGGCGACAAGAAATAAAGGAAACAGGATTTGTAGAGGAAGATGAAGAAAACACCCTACTAGAGGTTCAAGTTGCTGAGCAAGTCTAGAAATAACCAGCTGCAATAAAGAAGAAGAGACAAAGCTCGAGAAAGAACAGTGGCAGATATATTGAGTTCAATAGTGTCCCCCAAATCCAGGTCCAACAAGAACTCTGGAAGATAACCTTATTTTTAAGCAGGATCTTTGAAGATGTAATTAGTTAAAATGAAGTTACACTGGATTAGCATGGGATCCTAGTCCTATATGACCAGCATACCTATAAGGCCATGAGACACAGACAA